GTAGGAATTCCTGCCTTTATCCAGGATAAAAAAATCCTACAGAGTGAGGCTCGCTTCTCACTGTGCCTTTTCTATAGCCCCCTCTTCCTAAAAAAATGCAAGCCAGGCTGGGCAGCAGTGCTGCAGCAGACCGGCCTCACAACATGTCTGTGACAGGAACATGATGGAAAAAGAAGCTTCATCTCAAGAAAAAGCAACTGGAAGAATGAGTTAGTGTTTTATTTTGCTTTCTTGCATTGTGTAGTGAAGACCCATGAGAATTTTGGAGAGAGGAGAATAAAGGAAATGATACAGACTTTTTTTTACAGTGTAACACGCCAGGCTTCCTTGTCTTTTTAAAACCAAAAAACTGGACTCCTGGCTCTCTGAGGGAATTTTGTAAAACTTTCCAGCCAGTGTTACCCCAGGTTAGTGGTGTTACCAGCAGCAAAGAGGAGTCTGTGCTTTTATGAGACCATCAGTTTCTGGCATGTATTTACTACCTTGTCAAATAGTTTTAACTGATTGTAAAAAAAAAAACTTGTGGGAGCTGCTGGGACCTTGTCTAAGGTCATCTTCTGGTGCTGGTCTACCAAGGGACTTTTGCAGTAGGTATTTTCTCAAATTCAGTCTGGTAAATGAGATATGTGGGTGATTTAATAACCTAGTATTTCATTCAGGGACTGGAAATATGCCCCTTCACTTTTTAGATGTGCAAAGGGGAAAAAAAGAAGTCATGCAAGGACAGTGGAGGGAAGAAGTCTTGATAGTCCTGCAGCATGGGTTTGGACAGGGATGTGAGAAAAGGGAACATGAGCACATGTACCCACAACACAGTGTTTCTACCATCAGCCTGCTTGTGTGTGTCTGCTCCTGTCCCAGGCCAAGCTAAAAGTATCTCTCTGAAATCTTTCCTGTAGGAGACCTTTGTACATGACTCCTCTGGGCCAAGATCAAGCTGATTCCCAAAAGCCTTTCTTCCAGGCACAGCTCAGTGTTGGCTTTCAGGCAGGTACAGACACAGAGCAGCAGCCACTGTCTGCTGATTTACACTCTTTGTAGCACACCCACAAAATGGTATTTAGTTGGATTTTAAATATCTCCTAATGCCAGGAGACGAACCACAGCTGGAGTTGGACCTTTGGGTCTTGTCCATGGTATTCACATCTGGTAGTTTCAGCTGATGTGGTGCCACTTATAAAACTGCTGAGGATCTGTAGGGAAATGCTTCCTTCATCTTTACAAGTAGCCCTGCCCTGTAATATTCTGATAAGATTTTCAAAATGTATTGATGTTTGTCACATTTTCAGCTTCAGGTGTCCTGTATGTTGATACTTCACCTTTTTTGAGCAGCAAAGCCGAGTGCACTCCTTAGAAGAATTATGTGTGACAGGACAAGGGGGAATGGCTTCACACTGAGAGAGGGTATTGGATATTAGGAAGAAATTCTTCCCTGTGAGGGTGGGGAGGCCCTGGCACAGGTTGCCCAGAGAGGCTGTGGCCGCCCCATCCCTGGAAGTGTCCAAGGCCAGGTTGGACGGGGCTTGGAGCAACCTGGTCTAGTGGGAGGTGTCCCTGCCCATGGTAGTGAGGTTGGAACCAGGTGAGCTTTAAGGCCCCTTCCAACCCAAACCATTCTGGGATTCCATGTCAGAATGCCTTTTCTCTAAGTACTCTTTGCTGTCCATATTTCTGGCCATTAGATTAAGCAAGATGTGTCCATTATGCTTTTTTTTTTTTTCCCCATTGATTTTGAAGGGTTAAGTGTATATATATGAACAGCTGGTTTTATTGGCCTGGAGTTCTGAGCTGCCAAGGAGCTTTCCTACTGATTTTAACTCTTGCAAGCATTAGTTATTCAGGTTATTTATGGTTGGGCTTGGGTGCTTGGCTTTTTTCATATAGGGAAAAAAAAAAAGAAAAGGAAAAAAACCAAAACTCTGGGCCTGGTGTATCCCTTTTAGCTCAAGCAGCAAAACCAAGTGGGAATGTCTGGGTTATTTCTGAGCTCCACTAATGTGGACCTCCTTCATGAAAGCAACAGGATGATGTCATGTTCAGGAGAGGATCAGAGCATGCTCCTACCAATTCAACACATCCCAGAGCTAATATCCCAAAATAAGGCAAAGAACTACTTGATTTTTTTAGAACCACTTTTTTAAGAAGTACTTATTTTTTTCTTTTTGTATATAAATGTGTCACTATATGTATGTATTTGAAGAACTTCTTGTACAGATTCTTAGAAGAACAGAATTTTTGAAAGGATTCTTGGGAACTTATTTTTTAATATTTAATGAGTTCCCTTCATGTTTTGCTGCAGAAGGTGAGGCTTTGGCCACGGGCTCATTCAGAAGCTTCACACTTTGCTTTACTTTGCATTTCTAGTGTTTCAGTGGATCATAAAAAAAAAAAAAAAAAAAAGCCAAAGCTGTAATATTTGACCTTCCAAAGCTGGAAGGTCCCTTTTCTCTTCATGGCGAGGAAATAGCGTAAAACATTCAGCATTTGTTTCCAGGCAGTCTGTTCTTTTTCACCCTTCTCCTCCTCTCCCTGGAGATGGAGGCCCCTGCCATCCTTCGAGATGTCAGGAATTTTAGGAGATGATTTATGCAGCAGCATAAAAAGGCATTGGACCATGTAGCAAGGGTCAGACATATGGTAGCAATGATCATACACAATATATACATGCCCAGTAAAGCAGCTTCCCTGCATGTACTTGAAGACGTTACGAGACTCTTTCCTGGGTAGAAAAGTACTTAAAAATGCACCACGTATTCTGATCCTGCAAAACAGGAATGGAAACAGATAAATAACTATTTTTCTCGACCAGAATAAGTTAAATGCCTCCCTGTGTGGAAATGAGATTACAGTCCTCATTTTCCTTCTGACTTGACTGTAGCTGCTGAGAATAGCAGCCCCTCAGGTCTCTGGTAATGCAGTCTTCACCTCAAATAGGGATTCTAAAATATTCAAGCGTCTCTCTCGTGAGGCTTCCTGTTTCCTATTTGTTTTGTGTTGCTAAGCAATGCGTTTAAACCCCCAAAGTTAAAATTTACAACTCTCAAATTGTCCCTCAGCCTTATTCTCCAAACCTCACATCTGTAATGGGTTTTCCATCTGCCAGTTTTCCCAGGTCGCCCCATCCATCCTCAAGTCTGCAGAGGAAAAAGCCTTGTGGTTGAAAGTGGGGCTTTTTTCCCTTTTTTTCAGCCTCCATCTGTAATTAATTTCTCGCAAAGCCACATCTGTCTGTTTGGGGCAGGGGAAGTGGGGAAGGGGAGGTAGAAAGTGAAGTCACTCTCTCCCTTCTCCAGTAAAATGCAGAATTTGGCAAGTGTGATTGTAGTTCCTCGGGGCATTTTAGCCTCTCCCTTCCACCCTCCAGCCCTCGCCACCCCAGCTCCAGTGCACAGTCAAACATCTTGGGGAGGGCAAAGTGCTGCTGTGCTCAGCTGGAAGTTCTCCTGCCTGTGTGGAGCGTGTGGGTTTGGTCTGTGCTGCAGCCCACATCTGACACCGCAGTGTTTCTACTACTGGGGTTGCTGCAAAAGCTGCTGGCATCCTTTGGAAAATTTCCTTCTGTCAATATTTGAATTTTCAAAACCCATACTAAATAGCTGCAATGATGTTTCATTTTTAAAGACTTAAGAAACGGCCGCAGCGGTCCCAGTCAATATTCCTTCTCTGCCATCATCTAGTGCAGCTGTTCCAAAATATTTTTATGTTCTGCAGACCACCAGGTAGCTTCGAGCAGGAGCTGGGCTTGCTGTGAGGCTGCTCCCCTGCCTGGTGCCCTGCCCTGCTGTGGAAGGGGAAAGCAGAAAGAACCAGCTGTTTTAAGATCATGGAATCGTTAAGGTTGGAAAAGACCTCTTAAGATCATCAAGTCCAATCATCAACCCAGCACTGCCACCACGTTCAGCTCTAAACTGTGTCCTCAAGTGCCACATCCAGAGGTTTTTTGAACTCTTCCAGGGATGGCGATTCCACCACTTTCCTGGTCAGCCCATTCCAGTGCTTGACAAGCCTTTCCATGAAGAAATTTTTCCTAATACCCAGTCTAAACCTCCCCTGGCACAACTTGAGGCTATTTACTCTCATCCTGTCACTTGTTATCTGGGAAAAGAGCCTGACCTCCATGTGGCTAAAACCTCCTCTCAGAGACTTAAAGAGAGTGATAAAGTCCCCCCTGAGCCTCCTTTTCTCCAGGCTGAGCCCCCCCAGCTCCCTCAGCTGCTCCTCATCAGACTTGTGCTCCAGACCCTTCCCCAGCTCTGCTGCCCTTCTCTGGACATGGGCTGTTTGTTGCCCTTCTTTGCTTATGTAAGAGGAACATGAAACTCCTGAAATCTAGGAGGAAAATCTTCCCTGTCAGGATGGTGAGGCACTGGCACAGGTTGCCCAGAGGAGCTGTGGCTGCCCCATCCCTGGAAGTGTCCAAGGCCAGGTTGGACGGGGCTTGGAGCAACCTGGGCTGGTGGGAGGTGTCCCTGCCCATGGCAGGGGCTTGGAATGAGATGATCTTCAAGGTCCCTTCCAATCCAAACCATTCTGTGATCTATGGAAAATTGGACTCTTAGGTATTTTTGGAGATCTGGGCTTTCACCCTCTTGTTATTCTAATGCAAGTCAAACTCCATAGACTGAACATTGCTGTTATTGACTGTGCCAATTAGAGTGTCCAGCACCTCCTTCCCACCCACCACTCCTCCCATATTCATCCTGGTGGCACAGCTACTGTGCAATCAGTTGGTAAATTAGATGGGATAATTAATCTGAATTAAATATATACTGACTGACTTTGGTGCCAGATTATTTTTAATTTAAGTCAGTTCTGCTCTTCAGCTTATTGCCATGGTATTGGCACAACTGCAGGGCTGGCAGAGGGATGGGAGGATAAATAGCGAGGAGCACGGCAGGGGCAACTTAAATTGATGGTTCTGCTGAAAAACACCCCTGTTTGTCAAACTGCTGTCTGATATCTGAGGCAGAACGTGTCCTCTGCAGGGCTAACACACAATATGCTGTCTGTCATTTTACAGGCACGTTCTTTTGAGTATTGCTTTCAGCAGAAGCTCTTTGGGATGATGTCCTTAATACTGATAAGAAATAGCACGTTTTTGAATAATATGATGACTGAAATGCTGAGTAGTTAGTAATTGCAGAAACTTCCTGAGCCAGGATTCATCCCTGTTAGACATCCAACCATTTGTGCCTCCAGTAACTCTCTCACAGGTTAGAAGGGGAGCTGTTGTGTGTGTATTGTAGAAGGTAAGCTGGACCAGTGGAAGTTGAAGAAAGCTGCTGGGAAGGGGAACCTTGGAACTGAGGGCATCCCAGCAGAGCCCTGCAAAGAACTGGAGCTGGCCTGGGCGGTCACCCGGAGGGGATATTGTGTGTCACACCACACATCTGCCACAGCTGCCAGAGTACAGTGGGACCTTGTTTCAGCACAGCCAGGTTAGTAACGTGTCTGGAAAATAATTTTTGGCAAGGGTCAACTTAAACAGCTTTGTTCTGCCTCGGAGTCAGCTCTCAAAAGGCTGTAAAAGACAGAATGGGTCGTGCCAGGGATGCTCGTGGTGGCCACATACCTGTCAGGGAAAGGAGGTACAGCCCTGGGTAGGTGCATGTGAAAGGGTTCTGGATCATCTGCTGAAAGACCATTGTCCTGCAGCAGCTGAGAATCCCACCAGCAAACTGGTAGCAGATTTGTAGTGGTGAACATCAACCCCGTTGCAGATCCCTCTGAAATCTCCCGTTGTCCCCAGACCACCATGACTGTGTGTTTGTCTCCCAATTTTAAGAAATTTCATTTTAATTAAATGGTTTTAATTTAATTTGAATGAAAAATATGGGAGGAAAGGGGGAGCTCTGTAACAAGCAGCCTGTGGTGGCAGCAGCTCTCTGAGGAGCAGACTCATAAAAATAATGTGGTGAGAAAATTAGTCTGATGCCAGCATTAAATGACCCAAATTTGAAATAACACTGACACCCTGTGGAGATGTGTGGAGGGACCTTCTGCAGGGCTTGCTGAGCCTTGTTCCTGATATTATAGGCTATTAATTATATTCCTTCATGTCCTCCTTAGAGAAAGCTTCAGTTTTTTCCAGTGAAAGTTTTGCTATCTTTTAAGATTAAAAAAAATACTTTTAATAGAAAAGATATAAATTATTTTTGTTTTTTAATCTTGTACCTAAAGGCACAAAAGCTCATTTACCAAAAAGAGGATGATGAGGAATATTCTACAAGATCTGAAGAATGTGCCTGCAATGGGTTGAGTTTTCCTAAGGACTTTCTTCTGCTCAGCTGGAAGCATTGGAGGGAGCTGCTCCGTGCTGAGGTGAAGTCAGGATGCTAATCATTTCCTTCCCAGTCTGGACTGTTGTTTAAAAATGCAAGAGCTAAAAGGCTTAATGGTAAATGTGTGTTTTGAATATTCAGAGCAGCAACTTAGCGTTTGTTCTTGCTGCAAGTCACTGAGATGATGGTCTGGCTCTTAGGAGTGTGTCCTTGTACCTTCCTGTGCTTGTGCTTGTGCTGACTCTGGGCAGAGGGCATCCCAGTTGAAAAGGGATCATTTTCCCTTTGAGCACAGGATCCCCTTTATCCTTTATCCCAGGACTGAAGATCAGAAAGAAGAGGATGGTTATGGAGGAGGCTCCTGGTGACCTGAGTGCAGCCAGGCATTGCAGGGGAGGTGGTGGCAGTCTGGGAGCTCTCACGTTTCTCGTCCTCTGTCTGAAACACCCGAGTGCTGCAAGTGCACCATTCACCTCAGGAATTACCTGGTCTAATTAAATTCATCCAAGGCTGATAAAGTGTTCAATTCTCTGATGTTTACATTGTCTGCAGAAGGGGAAACTGAGACAAATTGGGGTGAGCAGAGACAGAATATGCAGTAGAAATGCAATGTCCCATCGACTCAGTTCACTGGAGCTGGAGTTGTTGATCTTTGTGGGTGAGCAAGGTTGGATACAGTTAGTCTTACAGTTCAGGAATCATTTTCCTACTGAAGGAATGATGTTGGTTGATCAGCCTCAGTGCTAGACCCTCACTCCATCTTTGGAGATGACTTCCATCCTGGAAGAAGTTTGAGCTCCGCTGTATCGATGGCTATAAAGATCCCATCTCACTTCTCAAAATAACAGGTAATTTCAGGGCTGTGGCCAAATTGCAGCATGGTTTTACTTCACTAACTTGCCATGTGAACCCTCCCTCGAGCTCTGTGCTTTCATCTCTGCTGAGATCAGTATTTGATGTGCTGTGCAAAGCTGCTGCACATCAGGAGCAGTGACCTGGCCAAGCAGCCACTTGGTTTTCAGGCGTCAGCCCGATCCCAGTGATCAAGGAAGGGATTTCTGCACAGCCCCAGCGTGCATGTTCATAAAAACCTTTGAGATGAAAAGTATTTATAGACACTTAAAAAATTCTTGTGGACAGGTCCAGCTTCCAAGACAGGAAACATTCGTGGGAATAGGATTAGACTCAACGTGTGAACACCTTAGCCCCAGAAAGGCTGGGCGTGCTCTCTCCCTGTCCCCAAACCCCTAAAACTTCTTCTGGTTGTGCTCCAGATGCAAAGTCCACAGTTTTGCCAGCTGTGGATGGGGTAACAAGGGGCTGCCCCTCTGCAAAGCTGACTTAGGTCCCGAGGACTGCTGTTCACAGAGGGTTATTTCCTTTGGATTCTCTCCTGAATTTACTGCCACTGAACAGCACCACAGCCTTCTTCTGAATGAAAGAGAAATTCACCCTGCACACTGCAGCAGTTGCCTGCAGCCATGAAGGGAAACCATCATGGGGGGTTTCTGTAAGGGTCAGCTGGTACCTGTGGAGGACACTCAGCATCAATCACTCCTTTCAAATAAAGGTTGGGAAAGTTTGAGCGATGTCCCACCAGGAGAGGAATTAGAAGCCTTTTTCATGAAAGCAATTCTCATTTGACCCTGGAACTGTAGCTGTTGTGTCAGCAGCCAAGTTGGGGTCAAGATTAAATGACTTAAAAGTTCCCCAGGTCAGTTCTCAAGGCTACATTTGGGATCCTTGCTCTGACCTCTCTCAAAACAACTGAGCTTTCACAAGACTCACAAGAAGGAGGAAGGACTTTCACACCGGGAATCTGATAAAGGTCACACGGATAAAGAAAACATCCGTGTGATCAGCTGACCGCCTGAGAAGGTGACAGGGAGAACCATGAAAGCCTCTGCACAACTTCCTCACTTTGCTCTAAAGTCAGCTAGTTATGATCTAAATATTTGGAATTATTTTGGGCTGCTACACACAGGAGGAGAAGGAAGGTACACAGAAACTTGGCTGGTGTGTTGTCATGGCACAGTGACTTGTTTCAACCTCTCAGTTGAACAGGCTTGACTTGTTATGAGAAGCTTGAGAATTGCTTTAATCCAATATCTCTGACACTTCTGTTATTTCTGGTGAGAAAGGGAAGATCTCAGTACTGTAGGTTTTGCCCCTTTTCCTTGGCACCATCGGGCTCTGTGGAGTTTGTTGTCCAAGCGAGGCAGCCCCTCTCATCCCTTTCTTTTTCCCCAGGGCTTGGAACAATGCACTCTGCTTTTATTCACAGAATCACAGAATGGTTTCAGTTGGAAAAGCACCTTAAGGATCACCTAGTTCCAACCTCTTTGCCATGGGCAGGGACACCAGATCTTACCTTCCAAAATTTGATTTTGGTCACCAATGCTTCATCGAATGACCAAACTAGATTTGCAGTTTCATTTAAAATTACTCTGTACTTAAAAAAAAAATAGACTTTTTTTTTTTTTTAATCTTTCAGTGGGTTTGGAATGGCCACTCCAGTGCCCTTGTCAGGTTTTCAGTATGTGCAGCTCTGAGGAGATGTTAATGATCCCCAAGTTCTCCATCTTCTGGCACAGACTCTGGTGGAAGGATGCAGAGAGTCACAGTTTTGCTCCATGGGACCCCAGCAAACATCTGGACTTTAACTGTTTTTTGTTTTCTTCTTCCAAGGCACCAGGACTCTTCCTCCTGTCCGTGAGGAGGTTTTGTGTGTAGTGAGCTGGTGGCTGCTCTACAAGGGAATGAAGTTGGGATTCATCATCTCTCATGCAGGAAAACAGGGAGGAGCAGGCACAGGGCCATCAAAGGTACAACAGAGGTGCTGGTGGGGAGGCAGGGAGTATAAAACCAGCTTGTGCAATGCAAATGTGTATTGCTGTTCCCTTCCAGCCTCTGTGCTCAGGTGGAGAGGTGATGTCTTCGTGCTGCTGTCAATTAGACTGCAATTAAACACTGTTTAATTTGCAGTGACATTTAAAAGCAATTAAGGAAGTTTAAATGTTAAATGTATGTTTTTGTCTTTCCAGTCACACACAGCTTTGAAGGAAAAAAAATATCCCAAATATTTAATTATACACTTACAACTTTGTAAATAAGCCTTACAGTACTATAAAAAGATTTTTAATCTCTTGCATAACTGCTTTAACTTCATGCTTCAGGGTGTGGTGCTCTATTAAAACACTGACACATGTAGTTTCTTATTGTAGCTCCTGTATCCAGCATTGTCTGGGGAGCAGTTGGGGTGTGCATTTCCATATCTGCTTCAGGCAAAATCACCCAGGTAGCTCAGAGCACCTATACAAACCCTGTTGAGGTTTCCCTGAAGCAGGATACGGAATCATGAGGCAGAGCTTCTCAGCAGTGCTGATGACTTCATCTGCCCACGGTGACCAGCAGCCTGGAGGGTGTAGTATCTCAGGCTGGATCTGGAAGAGGAGGTTTGTTGCTGTCCTTCCCTCTGGACAGGGTCAGGAGAGAGGAGCAAGCCCTGCCTGGCCTGTCAGCTCCTTAGGTGCCAGGAAACCTTGTCACCTTGACTGAGTCATCACATACCACCCTTGCTTTTTGTGCTTGCTTGGGAGACTCCTGCAGGCTTTACACCTTGTCCAAAGCCTGGATCCCATCCATCTGATCCCAGTACTAAGGTTCTGGCCTTTTTGACCATATACTGAGGGACCCCTTTGCCACTTTGTAGTCACTTCCTTGTGGCATCTTGCCACTGAACAATGACCTTGTGGCTCTTCCTCTTGCCTCAAGGTCGCTCCACAAGGAAGGCGTGGCCCCCCCAAGTTGTGTTAACCACCACTCTGATGTGATGGGGTGCAGCCAAGCCTGGTAAAAAGAATTCTCCTCAACTCACCTGCCCTGTCCTTCCCTAGTCTCTGTCTCATCTCTTATGTTCTTTCATCGTTCCTGTTTCACAATATCCCAGAACTCCTCTTCATTAGGAATTCAAGGCATTGATACCTGTCTTTCTCACCCACTGTCTAGCAAGGAGGAATAGAGAGCTGGGGGTGGCACCTGTTTAGCTGAAGAGTTTCCATCCAAGAGTCTGTGCTTGACACCTGACCTCAGCATCAGCCTGTCTGATATAATTTCTGTAATTTCATCTTGTTGTTTCCATTGACACATGGGTTTATTTTATACAGCTACTTTCTGCAAAGTGATGTTTAACGTGCTCTGCTGGGTCTGAGTGGTGTCCTTGACTCAGGAATTTTTTTTGTATTGTATAAATCTGATCTCAGTCTGTTGTCAGGATCACACACCTCTTTGAATAGGAAGATCTGTGCAGCATCTGGTGACAGTGTGTATGTTGATTTAAAGCCTTCTCTTCCTGAGCACTCAGAGGTTTTCCTGGAGCAGATAGAATTATTTAACAGCCTCTCTGGCCTCCTTCCCACACCAGCCCCAGCTTTGAGACGGCCCTTTGACTGCTGTTCTACCCCCGTCAGACCTTGTTCTCCAGCCTGAGACTGTCCTTGTTCCCACGACCTACAGATATTTGTAGGCAGTCCCGGACCCATCAGCTCTTTCTGTTGATCTCCCTGCAGTCTGCTGTCTCCTTGGCAAGGGATAACGGAGCTCTTCTGCCTGTCAGCTTCAGGAGGTGATGGCCCATCATGACTGCCCTGTCTCCTCCTGGTCCCTCTGCCATCCTCCATCCCCAGCTCCATGGCTTGTCCATAACCTAAATAACTTGGCCACTTCCAGCTCTTAATGCTTCTCTAGTTGTAGACAATTCCTTGGCACTTAAATATTAACGTGCTGATTAATAATGAAAACCATAATTGTAGTTAGGTTTAAAACTTTAATGGGGTGAGGAGTTAGCGGAGGTGCAGTCCATAACAATGAAACTGTGCTATTAATATATATATATTTAAGCATCTATCCCTGCAGTAATAACATTGCTCAAGAGCAGTATCCCATGTGTGGACGTCTGTGAAGATGTTTGCTCGCTGCGCTTGGAAGCTCGGAGCAGGAAGTCATAAAGCACTAGGTATGATATTTATTTTATTCACAGGGGTTTTAAAAAGTCCCATTAAAAGTTTTCAGTCTGAGTCTTAAAAATGGACTAGAGCAGGGGAAGATTCCTGGAAAGAACTATATTCATTGTCTGCTTCAGGCACACCAGTCTGCAAATGCAGCATTTGTTACAGTCTTAAAGTAGCCCGAGATGCTGCAGTCAGTTATGTTGGGCTCAATGATCTCAGAGGTCTTTTCCAACAGAATTGATTCTGTGAAAAGGGACGAAAAAAAAAAAAAGATCGGGAACAGCAAGTGGAGCAGAAACAATGGAGAAAACGTTCTGGATAGCCGGGAGCTGTGGAGGGAGGGGATGTATGGGCTGTAGTTGTGGTGGCTGTGTGTGGGGCTGGAACACCCGAGCCTCGCCAGCCCCTGCTCCGCCGCCTTTCTCGCTGTGGTGTTGGTGTGAGCACATTTCTGTGCTGCTGGGTGGTGTCTCCTGCTGAGCCCGGCTGGCGCTGCACCAGCTGCGCCTCCCCTGCCAAACTTCCAGCGATGCCTGCGAAATTAAATCAGCACTGGAGCATTGTTTTACATTAGGAGCGTGTGAACGCAGGAAAATAAATTTAAATTAATGTATTATATGCCATAGCACGTGGGCAGATAGATAGAAATCTATTGATGTTATGGATGCGTAGCACAGACAAACTATTGATGTTACGGATGCAGAGCATCCAACCCATTTATTGATGGGAGATTTTTAAAAGGAGGTGTATTGTTTAGGACCGAATAGTGTCATAATATGTAGTATAACAGGACTGTATACTACTACTATGTATATATAAAATTAATACTGCATAATAAGGTTATAATTCTTAATCATAATGCTGTAATTCCAAATTCAGGGCAGCCAAGTTCCTCTGACAGTGGTGTGTGTTGTCACAGGACCCGTTGCCCCAGTCTCGGCTCCCGCGCAGCCAGAGCCAACTGTGTTCAATATAAATTGGAAATACGTGTATTAAAAACGCCAATTCCCTTGTTTTCCCCCTTGTTTCCCGCGATCCTCCCCCTCAGCCGAGGAGCGGGACCGGCCCGGCCGCTCCGGGGTTAACGGCGCTGCCGCCCCATTGGCGGGCGCCCCCCCCGCCGCTCCTATTGGAGCCACCCGGCCGCGTCCCCCCGGCCGGCGGCTGATTGGCGGGCGGGCGGCGCGAGGCGGGCGCCCATTGGCCGTGAGGCGGGCGCGCGGCGCTGGGCGGCACCATGTCGTGAGGGGGGCGGGGGCCGGCGGCGGCGGCTGGGCCATGGCGGGCGGGCGGCGGGCGCGGTGAGTGTGGCGGGGGCGGCGGGGCCTGAGGGGCGGGAGCGGGCGGGGACGGGCCGCGGGGCCGCGGCGGGACGGGCACGGAGGGCGGCGGGGCCGCACGCCCCTGGCGGCGGGAGCGAAGGGGGAGACTGCGCCCCGAGGGGCCCCGGCGCGGCCCCTGAGGGCCCTGCGGCCGGACCGGCGGGTGTGGAGTCACAGGATCGGCGAGGTTGGAAAGCTGTGCCGACATCATCCAGCCCGAGCCGTGACCGACCCCCACCTTGTCAGTCGGACCGTGGCACTGAGTGCCACGTCCAGTCTTTCCTTAAACACCTCCGGGGACGGCGACTCCGCCGCCTCTCTGGGCAGCCCCTTCCAGTGTCTGACCAGGCTTTCAGTGGAGAGATTCTTACTGATGTCCAACCTGAACCTCCCCTGGGCAGGTTGAGGCTCTGTCCTCTTGTCCTGCCCCTTGTTCCCTGGGAGCAGAGCTCCCCTGGCTCCCCCCTCCTATCAGGGAGTTGCAGAGCGAGAAGGTCCCCCCTGAGCCTCCTTTTCTCCAGGCTGAGCCCCCCCAGCTCCCTCAGCCGCTCCTGCTGCTCCAGCCCCTCCCCAGCTCCGTCCCCTGCTCTGGACCCGCTCCAGCCCCTCGGTGCTCTCCCTGGCAGGTTCGGGTCAGCTCACGGGCACCCCCGGCTCTGCCCGAGCTCCGCGGGGGCCGCACGGACGCGACTCTGGCAGGTGTGAATTTTGATCCGCGCCCCTGCAGCTCGTTCCTCTTCTGGATGCTCGCTTTGAGCCAGGGACAGAGCCACGCACAGCTGTGAAGCCTCTCCGAGCATCTCCTCTGCACTGTGGGCTCTCACCGAGTGCCACTCGCTGCTTGGCAAACGTCATTGTCCCGTGGTGAAAACTGAGATGTGTGTCGTTCGTAGAAATGCTGACTGTAGTTGTCAAAGCTGTGGGTTTAACCCTTTTTAAAGGGCATTTCTCTTTGGGTCCGTTCTGGATACAGGTGTGCATAAGCACTGCAGCTGTTTGGTGTGTGGTCACTGAGGCCCTGGTCCTGCAACATCCGTGGTGCTTTAGGGGCTGAGCAAGCAGAGCAAACTGTAAAATGTAGATTCCAGTCTTGCAGTGAATAGATCCCACTTGGTACTTACTGCAGAACAGACATTAATGCTGTGTCTTGTTTTAATTTGAAAGTGACTCCCTGCACCTCTCGTGTCCTTAAGTCTGACCTACGTAGTCACAACAGGATTCGGCTCCGTTTGCGATACAAAGTCTCAGGAGGGTGAGGTGGATTTTGTTTCCTTGCACAAAGTTGTCAGCTCAGTTCTGACACCAGGATCTCTGCCCTCTGGTTCATTGTCCGCTGCCTCTCCTCGGGAGTGGGGAAATCAGTTGGCATTATCCTATAACAGCTCCTTGCTGCTGGATATCAGATGGGTGCACGGACCCTGGGTAAATTTTTTGGTGCCCATATTATCTAGGAGCTGAATCAATATAAGCATGTTGAGTGGAGAAAGAAAACTGCAGAATTTTCTCACTGCTTTGGCTTCATCTCCAAGGGGAACAAGGCCCCCTAAAACATTTCCAGCTTGTTTTATTGACCTGTGATGGTCGGGTGGAACATCAGTAACTGGGATGGGGATAAAGGGAGGGTTGTTCCAGCTGTTTTCTGACCAGGTCCCAGCACCCTCTCTGTCAGTACCCTTGCCTCGACCAGGTCCCAGCACCCTCTCTGTCAGTACCCTTGCCTCCTGCCTGTGTCCTGTGCCATTCCACTTTGCAGTGCATCCAATCCCTCCCTCCCTGCCCGGCATTCCCAGCTCCCTGCCCATTCCAGCTGTGTGCACACTGGTTGCCCAGATGGCCAAGGGGAACAGGCAACTGTTGAGCCAATGCCACAGCCTTTCCTGCAGCCTTCCCCAGCTGCCAGCTCCCAATAAACACATAAACCCCGTATTCAAAACATCTACTGTCCTCTCAGATGTGCTTGGAATTAACCAGTGTATCTAAATGAAAAGTGTGATTATATAAACTTTGTTTCCATAG